CCTCTAGTAATATATTTACTGAGAAAAATGGTGACGTGTTCAATACTTATTTTACTCGCTGTATGTGTCTCCTGCAGATGGTCAGCATTTGTTGGATGTTAAAGTAGAAGAAGAGGTTCCACATGTGTGCAGCTCCGGTCTGGACCAGCAGGACACAGAACTCCTCATCATAAAGAAGGAAGAGGAGGAACTCTGGAGCAGTCAGGAAGGAGAGCAGCTTCCTGTGAAGAGTGAAGATGATGGSAGTCATCGGTTATTGCAGCTTCATCAGATCAAAACTGAAGATGACACCGAGACAGAACCTCCAACCTTCAGCTCAGCTGAACACGTGAAAACAGAAACTGGTGGAGAGGACTGTGGAGGACCAGATCCAGCAGGATCCCAAACCGAATGGAAGTCAGGTCAGAAATCCTTTTTAAACTGATGTTAACTTGATGTGGGGTTCTCTCATTATTTTGTGATCTTCAAGCTGCAGCAAAACTTTAAAGCAGAACTTCTGATACATTTATTTGATCTCTGATTAGTTCCATTATAGAACACAAACAAAAACACCAACAACCTGTAGAAATGTGTCACTTTAACTGATTTAGAGTAAATTAAGTTTTAGCTTCTTTCACTGCCCGGATTATGTTTTGTTTTCAGGGACAGTGGTTGTTCACCCTGTAGTTCAGACTTCTGTGAAAGAACAACAAATGTTCACTTTGTTGTCGTCCACCAAGCTACAACAGTCGTTAATTTGAGTTCGTACCTTGGTACAAGCATCAGAATTTGGTACAACAGGAGAGAAATCTTTAATTTTTTGAGCTCTTGAAAGAGTTTTTGCTTCATTTGAAAACATCAATGCGAGAGGGGCTTTACACAATTACACAATGATGCAATGATTCAGACATATTTATATCCAAAACCTTACATCGCTGAACCTTTACACAATTTCTGGAACACAAACAGAATGTGCACTGTTCTCTAGTTTGTCTCAAAACCAAAAAATCCTCCTGGACTGTAAACAGACTCCTGGCTGTCCACAGAAAGTTTTGACACAAACTTTTTAAAATAGTACAAAATCTAAGCTTTACAGTCTTAAATCATTGTGGTTATGGTGCTTTAAGAAGTAGGTGTAAGTTGAATTCTATGCTGTGTGTGTATGTGTATATATAC